AACGCCAGGCTCTTTTTTGGTTGCAGCCGTCATTGTTGTTTGGCGGGCCGGGGCTGGATTCGAACCTGCCAGCTCAGGTCTATTTGGCTGGTGCCTCAGCCGCCTGAGCTACAGGCACCGAGCCATTTGTTAAATTTTTTAAAATGCAAAATAAACGTTGCAAGTTAAATCCTCTTTAACTCTTATCGCAGTCACATTCCCATTTCTTCCTCCTTATATTATTCTTTTTTGTGCCTTTCCATGAAAGCATAGCTTTTAGTGGTTATTTGAGGGCCAGAGCTGTTGAGTGACTTTCTGAGCACCTGACAGTGAGTCAGTGCTTTGTCCACCTCTGGGTTTGTCCCCTTGCAGTGTTGGCCCTGCTGAACATATGAACTTATCCCTACCTGGACTCCTGAGTGCTCCATCCTCTTGAGTCCCTGATGAATAGAGGGCAATATCCAGGGAGGGACATTCCAACAGCTGGGTTTGTAAATTTAAACTATTTTGTGAAATGAGAAGGGCATTTTTGCCAAGCGCAGGCTGGCTCGTTTTTTTCTGACATTCCCTGATTGATCACTGCCAGAGGATTTGATGGTGATGAGGAGGAGGATATTAGAGCCTGTTTTGTAACCACTAGTTCTCTGGATCCACTGTTCTGTGAAGAACATGATGATAAGGGGTTCAAACCCAAGTCTGCCTGCCTTTTATGCTCATTTAGCGTTTCCCACCCCCAAAGTCCTCTTCTCTGTCCTGTGGTCTCTAATGAATAACCTTTCTTCTTACTGCAAAAGGGCACCTCACCAAAAATGTGGTTTGTCAAGGGACAGGTGTTAAAAAAGGAAACCAAGCGCCATTTGTTTTCATCAACACAAGGCACTTCAGAAGGTGACTTTCACAGAGCTCAGTATGCCCAGAGCTGATACCCAATGAAGAACTTTCAGCTGGAGAAAATCCTCTAGGAATTTCTTCAGTATCTGGCAGCAATAGGCTGCACAGTGTGTGTTCATGTACAGACAGTGCACAGTACTGGAAGTCTGGCACCTTACCTCCTCCTCAGAGTGCATTAGTGTGAGAAAACTAAGCCCACCCCTGGTGCTGAAAAGTGTGCTGGCTTTTCCAGCCCTTTTGTACAGATGTGCAGACTCTGTGTACACAGAGTTACCAGTTTCCAAGTATAAAGCAGAGGAACAGAGCTCCTGGGCAGTAAGGGGGGTGCTCTGGGAGTGACCTGCTGAGGTCCTCTACTCAGCTTCCCTCCCCAAGGTTCAGCTCCCTAGAGGACATCCCTGGGGCTCCCCTTGGCTGAGTTGGCCCAATATCTGTGGTTAAAACAAAACAACCTAGCTGATACATGTGGGCAATTCTCTGTCACAAAATTCTGCTCTATGTTCCCTTTGATCTTTACAGTATTTGGGAGGTAAGCAGGGCAGAGATGGAAAGCAAAGTTTATCTTAACCAACTTAAAATCTTAAACTCTTAGTACAGACAAGCTGAGCTCAGAGAGGGCAAGTGTCTTGACCAGGATTCCATAGCACGTTAATGTCAGGAAAGGGATGGGTACAGAGAAGCTGACACTACCTACAAGGTGCTCAATGCTGTGTGTCTCTTATGTCCTCACAACAGCTATCAGAGGAAGCTGATAAATGGAGACTCCTGCCTCCATTTTATAGATAGGAGAAATATTGATACAGGATGGTCAACCCAGGGCCAGCAAGGGCCAGGGCTTTTTGGCTCCACCCCTCTATACTGCCTCCATATATGAGTCAGAAGCTCTGCATTCAAGTTCTGACAGTGTCACGTTGAAGTGGTCTTGAAAAAAATCTTCCTTCTCTGTGAATTGGGTTGTGAAGATCAAACATATATTAGTAACAAGTACGCATTTGTTCAGCCCCTCATAGTTCACAAGAGCACCGCTGGTGTGAGCGCAGCGTAACTTCTGGCCACACCTGTGATGGGATGTTGTTCTGGAAGGTGCAGTTTCTACCTGGCAAAGGTACTTGCCACACATGGGGAATTCAGGTTCCTCTTTCTCAGAGACCAAGTTGTTTCCCTTCCTGTGTCACTTTCCCCTTGCCTGGCAGTGACAGAAAGTGGAAAGGAGATAGCCTAGGAGTTGGGCATTGGGGTTCTCCCACCTCGGCCACTGTTCTGCTGTGTGACATTGTTTCCCCATTTTGAGCCTCAGTTTTCTCATATGTAAAATGAGGGTCTGGAATCAAGTGCGAGCCTGCTGATGAGTGGCCTCAGGTCCCCAAGAGCTCTAGCAGGTGCAGGCCCTGCCATCTGTCTCTACTGGGTCCTGACAGATGTCAGATCCTTTCTGGAAAGGGGTGCAAAGCACACCCAAACTCCCAGGAAATTTGTCCCTGGGCGTGTGCTTTGAGGGGTAAGGGTAATGTGGACCCCCCCTCCTTCACAGCCTTGATTTCCTCCCGAGGTGGTAACAGAGAGGTACTGAGGAACTTGGAAGTAACTTGCTTTTCTCAACTTCTCAGGAGAAGGCCATCAGCATTTGGGAGTCAAAGAATTTCTTTTTTGAACTTGAGCCTCTGCCAGGGGCCGTAGAAGCTGTGAAGCAGATGGCCAACCTACAAAAGTAAGTCTGCCACTGGGTGGGACCCCCACTGGGTGGGACCCCCAACCCTCGCCTTCTCCCTGCAGTCTTCCCTTTTCTTGCCTTCTGCTGCTCCTCCTGCCCTCTCCCTCTCCTTGCCTCAGCCCTGTACAGGGTTATGTGAAATGAACTTGGTTTACACAGACTTGAGAAAATAGTGAGTTTAATTTGATCTGGTTCTCTGGGTGTTCAAAGCTCATTTAGTGAGCAAGTGCTGAGAGCTGACGGTGTTAGGTGCTGCTGGTGCCAGTGATTCAGAAACAGGGGAAGCATGGCCTTTGTCCCCATCAGGCTTGCATTCCAGGGAGAACAGACATTTAGCAAAGAATCACAAAGTGAAGCTGATTCCAAACTGTGGTAAGAGCCAAAGGAAAAGAGGCTTAGTGCAAAGCCTTAAGGAAGGAAGACGGGTATCATTTGAGATACTTCTGTTTTATCCTGGTAAAATGAGTGGTTCAGTGGGCTGAGGTCACCTCTGTAAGACTTGGATAACTTTTATTGGCCACAATTTTGTTTGAATTCAGCAACCTGAATGACAAACATAAGGTAAGTTTTGGCCTTTGTTGTGCCATATAAATGTCTCCAAAAATTGTCAACTTTCAAAGTTCTAATATATAAATAGATATAAGAGAAATAAAATGGTTAGAGTTTGACTTGAAGTATAAACCTTGTTTGGTCAGTAATTCGTCTTTGAACTTGAGTACAGGTCCTGCAATATAGTGTGTTTTATTCTGGTTTACGACATGAGCTTGGCTTATTTTGGGTGAGAGCCTGGAGAGGCTAGCCACGTGCATACTGACGTCTCAGAACTACCCTAACAGCCTGGGGACCTATTCTAACTGCAGGCACACTGCTAAGTTCTGGTCACCAGTGAGGGCCGGGCTCATGTACAGCCTTCTCCGGAATCTCACTCCCCGACGCTGGGCAAGTATTAAACTTTCTGGGACTGAGTTTCTTGATCGGGTGCTGAGCCTGTCCTCAGAGCAGTGCCTGGGATACAGGAGCTGCTCAGCAAGGGCTGGCTATGCCACTGCCCTGAGAGTTCTGAGGGACAAGGAATGCATTCTTGGGACAAGACTGGTGGGAAGTGCTGAGGCCTCTTCACTGCAGCACCTCTCAGAGCTCGGGGTTACTCACAGGCAGTGAGACCCCTCACTGGAGCAGTAGAGAATGCAACTTTTTTCAGAAGTGTCACAGCCTCAAAGCTTTTCTTCACAAATTCCCTCTTAACACTTTGGAGGAATTCCAGTTTTGGAAATGAAAGCCTAGATCACCCCTGATGGTCCTTTACCTCCATTTTGGCTCTGAACTTGGTAGAAGATTCCTGTGGTCGGTCAGTATGTGAAGTCTGGACCAAGCTAGGGGCTGAGTCAGTGACTAAGTGGATACCGTGTGTCTGGTGTGAAGTAGGGACTCTAAATAAGAGTTAGGCTGTCAGGTATGGGGGAGGATTGGGACACATGACCTCCATGGTGTGTATGGCCACAGCCTGGATGATGGCCCTGAGCAGGAATACACGCGAGAGCCCTGGAACCTAGAGCCAGCCACTGGGAGGAGCAGATGTGGGGAGGCCCAGCTGGTGGCCAGTGAAGCACAGGCCATAAGCCAGCACAGGGCAATGTGGCCAGAGAGCCAGTGTGGTCAGTGGGTCTGAGTGCCTAGGAGGGGATAAGGAGGGTGAGGAGAGCATGACACAGGGACATGAGGCCCTTGGTGCCAACAGATGACTTCTGGGGAGTGAAGGGGACAGAGCCTGGGCTAGAGTGGGTGAAGGGGGCACAGGAAGTGAGAACATTAGGTTAGCTGGTGGTGGCAGCTCGTTGGGTGGGTTGTGCTGCAGGGGGTGGTGTCGAGGTGTTGAATGTACATATATAAGATGTGAGGTACCAGCACACGTATGGATGAGGAGTGGCAGAAAGGGCAGAGAGAAGGAGTATTGCAGGGTGGAGCCCTTGTGGAGGTACAGGGGCGCAAGTAGAGGGCCTGGGGAAGGAGAAGACTGTGTGCCTAGAAACATGTGGCCTCTAGACCCAGGAGGAGCACAGGGATTCTGTCTGCAGGAAGGTGGAGGTGGCATCTACACTGGGGGCCTTGCTGGGAATGCCCATGAGGGCATAGGAGGAGGTACGAGGTAGGCCCTTGTTCTGTATCAGGATTAAAGGGGAAATGGGTCCATCCAGTGATGGGCATTTGCTTTTCTCCAGCAGCATTCAGTTGCTTGGTTGCAGGTGGGAGAAGTTGGCTAGCTGGGCTCCTTCAGGGCCCTGGCAAGCAGACCTTAGAAATGCGGCCAAGTGATGGTGGTGATGGGCCACAGAACCCAGCTGGGTGAAGGGGGCTGTGAAGCTGGGGCAAGAAGTGACACAAGTATGGAGGCCTCTGTCCTGATAGGCAGGAGAATTGAGAATTGAGGGGCTGGGACTCTTGGGTATGGGGGTGGCAGGTGTCGGGACACCATGGGGCCCTTTAGTTCAGCTCCCGCATTAGTTCAGCACAGAGTTGCGCTGTAGACTGTGAGGGCTTGGTACTCCTCACGTAGAGCCCAGGCCTGTCTTGGACTCTCAGGCTGGAGGGCGCAGCCCAGAGTGCAGTGGTCTTGTCCTCTATGTTCACCACAGCCAGGGCTTGCATGCATCCCTGGAATTTTTCCTTGTAGATTTCTTTTTTTTTTTTTTGAG